GGGGGGGGGGGGGGGGCGTTTAGAGATTAGGGTTCACGGTGAAAGTGTTTGAGAGCAGAGAGGATTTTAGGCCGGCAGGGTGGATTGTAAAATGAATTAGGTTTGGGGGGTTTGGGGAAGGGGTTACTTAAGTTAATTAAGGCAAGGTTTAATCCGGCCCGTTGATCAAAATTGATTAACAACTAGGATTTAGCCAGAGTTGGGTCGGGTTGGGTAGTGGTTTGGGCCTAGGTAATTTAATCCAAAAATTGGGCTGGGTATTGGGTTAGGGTTTAGGCTAAAATTGAAATAAAATAGGCTAAATTTTAAATAGCCATTTTCAGTACTATATAATTTATAAAAATGATAAAATGATTTCTAAAAAAATATTTCGTGTACTAAAAATGATTAAAAATAGTTGTATAACATTTGAATAAAAATACCCTTTTATGCATTAATAACGTAATTATGAATTAATAGGGCTAGTATTGCAAATATATGCAAATTGACTTTAAAAAATGTAAATGCAATTATAAAAAATGCACTAAAAATATTTAACCAATATTTTGGCATAAATATAGAATTTAGATGGCTAAATTACGACAACAATAATTTGAAGGATAATTATTGGAAATTTTATAAGTAAAAGAGGAACAAATAAATCAATTTAAAGCCTTTAAAATTATTGAAAATTTATAAAAAAGCATATGCATGCTTATATATAGGCATATATGCTATTTTGAAAGTATATATGTGTATTAAAAATATATAGGAAAAATTGGGTATCAACAGCTGCCCCTCTTTACTTGAGAAGGATGAAAGAGTTTTCGGGTAAAGAAATGATGACCAATTTTGACAGGGTGGGATGTTTTGAAAGACAGAGGCCGGACTCCGACCTTCGAGTTGCCTACATATCCCTGGTTTTACAAGAATAAGGCCATGTGTAGTTCTGGATTCATTGGCGGAATATGCTGATGAAATCATTGCAAGAACAGACACGAGATGCGGAAGCGGCTATGGTGGGTGGTCAAGGTTTGAGACAGTTGAAGGAACTGGAGCGAGATCGATCCTGCTAGGATAGCGGTTGCTTACTGGTTACCTGCAGATAAAAGATGCTACAAACATGTATTTGTGTTAAAATTTAAACATGATGCAGATTCCCTTCGTACCATGAAGGTTGTCTTTGGACGGTTAAAGATGACGTCCTTGGACCATGACATCATGGGCCATGAATTGTTTAGCGAGGGATTTGCAGGCCATGAAATGACGTTCTCGGGCCATGACAATGATACCTCCGAACCATGACGCCTTTAAATAATGATATGCAAATTTGAGGGATCCTCAGGCCATGGCATGGTGTCTTCTGGCTATGAGGATGATTCCTTTTAGACTATGACGCCTTTGGATAGATTGGTGATATTTCAGCCCATGATATGCAATAATATGATGTTCACAAGACATGGCTCAATCTTGTGAAATGGAGGGCAGAGCTTAGCCCGATCGAAAAGCAAATAAATAGTACTAGAAATAGAGCAATATTTGTGCAAAAAGGGATAATGCTTAGTCCCATGCGAATGTGGAGGCATGGATTAGCCTCATGCAGATGTGGAGGCAAGGATTAGCCTTATGCAAATAGGGAGGCAGGGATTAGCCTCATGCAAATAGGGAGGCAGGGATTGGCCTCATGTAGGTATGGAGGTAAGGATTAGCCTCATACAGATGTGGAGGCAAGGATTAGCCTCATGCAAATAGGGAGGCAAGGATTAGCCTCATGCAAATAGGGAGGCAGGAATTAGCCTTATGCAAGTGGAGGCAGGGATTAGCCTCATGCAAGTAGGTAGGCAAAGATTAGCCTCATGCAGATATGGAGGCAGGGATTAGCCTCATGCAGGTATGGAGGCAAGGATTAGCCTCATGCAGGTATGGAGGCAAGGATTAGCCTCATGCGAATAGGGAGGTAAGGATTAGTCTCATGCAGGTATGGAGGCAAGGATTAGCCTCATGCAAATATGGAGGCAAGGATTAGCCTCATGCGGATATGGAGGCAGGGATTAGCCTCATGCAGGCATGGAGGAGGGGATTAGCCTCATGCAGGTATGGAGGCAGGGATTAGCCTCATGCAAGTGTGTAGGCAGGGATTAGCCTCATGCAGATAGGGAGGCAAGGATTAGCCTCATGCAAATATGGAGGCAAGGATTAGCCTCATGCAAATATGGAGGCAGGGATTAGCCTCATGCAGGTAGGGAGGCAAGGATTAACCTCATGCAGATATGGAGGCAGCGATTAGCCTCCTGCACACGGGGAGGCAAGGATTAGCCTTATGCAGAGCAAGTAGTAAGTAAGAGTAGCACATGTCTTAGCTGGAGATGTATATTCGGTGTCTAATGGACCGCTTGATTGTAATCTTGCTACGTGCATATATCTGCAGATGTTATCGTTACGTCAGATGTGCCTGCGTTCAAAGAAAAATTGTAAATTCTGTGAGGGGGAGGTTGGTTTGTGCTTCGTCTGCTGGCCTTGCTCCGCTCCATTTTGAAAGCCCTTTCGCGTTCCCCTAGGTAACACCTGACTGTTATGGAAATAGAGTTTTCAAAAAATATGCAATTGTTGATAAAAAATAGAGTTATTTCAGAAATATATTAATACATTTAGATGAAATAGTGACTGTAACACATCTCAAAGGCATTGTAGCTCTCTTATGTCAGAATTTTGAGGATCCTCCTCAAAATTCTGTCCCAGTTTAGTAGATGATCCTTCGGCCGTTTGCGGATAATAGGTCTTGCGGAACCTTCTTCGGAATTTTGAGAATCCTTTTCAAAATTCTGCCTAGTTTCTTAACTGATTACTGACCGTCTGACACATGTTGGTGTTGGCTGGACTTGCTCCAGAATTTTGAGTGTCCTCCTCAAAATTTTGCCCCAGTTTCTAATCTTGGGGGAATGAAAATTTTATTATGATATGATCGAACCCATAATGCTGCCTATATATCCTCTTAAACGGGAATCGGGTCAAGCGTAGTTCAATTACATCAAATGAGGAAATGTAAAATATCTAAGCATAGTATCTCTTGACTGCGTCTGAATTGATTGGTTTTGGCCAGGTTTCTCCATTTATTTCCGCAAGTATGAGTGCTCCTCCTGTCAGCACCATGTGAACCATGTATGGACCTTGCCAGCCGGGAGAGAAATTCCCTTTGGCTTCATCTTGATGTGGGAAGATCTTCTTCAATACCAGCTGCCCTGGCGCGAACTATCTTGGTTTGGCCCTTTTGTTGAAAGCTCTGGACATTCTATTCTGATAAAGTTGGCTTTGACACACTGCGTTCATCCTCTTTCCATTGATTAGGGCTAATTGTTCATAGCGACTCCTTATCCACTCTGCATCGCTGAGTTTAGCTTCATGTATGACTCTTAAAGAAGGAATCTCTACCTCGGCTAGGATGACAACCTTGGTACCATAAACCAGCATGTAGGGGGTTGCCTCGGTTGATGTGCGAACAGTAGTGCGGTATCCCAACAGAGAAAAAGGTAGCTTTTCATGCCATTATTTGTGGTTTTCTACCATCTTCCTTAGTATCTTCTTGATATTTTTGTTGGCGGCTTCTACGACTCCATTCATCTGAGCTCTGTAGGCTGTGGAATTCTTATGCTTGATTTTGAAAGTTTCACTAGGGGTGTGCATTCGATTTATCGATTCGATTTTGATCCTTATCGTTAATTACTTATCGATTATCGATTTTTACATATGCTTATCATTATCGTTTCAATAAGGTTTGGATTTTTTCGATTTCGATTTATCGATTTTTGGGGCTTATCGATTCGGTTATCGATAACACCAATAAGCCAAGAGGGATCACAGATAACCATAGGTTCCCAAGACAAACAGATGCACAACTATTTCATTTCACACTGTTTCTATGACAAGAAAAAATGAAAGAAAAGGGACACGCACATAATGAATATTATACATCTCACACGAGTAAAAACTAAAAAGAGAGCAATTACACCAAAGAAAGGTCAATTATTCAAGTAGCAAACAACTAGGGAGAATTTCTGCTCCAATGAGAGGAAGAGTTCAAGTTTGGTCAGTCTAGATGCAATTGCAACTTTCAACCAAGAATCTAGATGAGATGAATATTCATTATCCATGAAGAAACCCACCGTCAGGCCACGCATCAGCTGCATCATGATCTGATCCACACCCATAACAAACTCATGCCTTTCCATCTCAGACATCAGGTCATACATCTCACACGAGTAAAAACTAAAAAGAGATTAATTACGTAAAAACAAGAGCTCTCAAAACAGATTATACATCAGATCACATCACAAGTTGCTATGGAAGCGCAAGCCAAAACCAACGACACAAGACATATGACCCCAAAAGCAAGCACAAGCCAAAACCTTCCTCTGTATAAATGTTACCAACCTATACAGCAAGCTAAACAAAAGCACAAAAGCATACTAGCTGTTGTGCACAAAAGCACAAAAGCTAAACAGAAGCACACACGATCTTGCCATACATAAAATGTAAATAAGACATGATTTCCAGCAAAAGAAACTGTGGCAACAAAAATGAACACGATCTTGCCATACGCAGCTCATTTACTTGCGATGATAACTGTGGCAGCAATGGTACAGCAAAAGAAAATGAAGTTCCAACAACTTGCGAATCACTAGTTGATGGGCAGCAAATCAAGTTCAACTTCACGAGCCCAACTTCAACGTCCATGTTATAGCTATAATGGGCAGCAAATCAAGAATCAACCCTCAAGTTATTAAAGAGAAAAATATTAAGAACTTTGTAATACATCACATTCTTTGACAAGTATATTATTTAAAATGGAGAACTTACATAGCAACTAACAAACTCTAGCAAACATCGTCGGTGGAAGCTTCTTTGCCAAGATTAGTAAAATCTAATAAGAAAATATATTAACAAGTCAAGCAATTAATATATTATTTAACTATCTTAAGCAATACAATAAAATTAATTAAAATATACATACCTTCCTCGAGTGTCTCAAGAAAATCTAAATCTTCCTCAACATTTACAGGAAGTGATTCACTTCGAAGCCAATCTTGAAGGCACACTAGAATTTCAACCAATTTAGGAGTTAATGAACTCCTAAATTGGTCAAGAATACGGCCCCCGGTACTAAATGCACTTTCAGATGCCACACTTGAAATAGGAATAGCAAGCACATCTCGAGCCATCTTAGCAAGAATAGGAAATCTAGGTGAGTTGACCTTCCACCAAACCAAGATATCGAAGTCCGGTCTTTCATTTTCAGGATCTTTTGCAAGATACTTTTCCAATTCTGTTTTAGAATCTACACCTCCACTTGCAGCTTTATGTTTCCTTATTTCATCTAAAAGTTCACCTAAACCAGGAGTTGAAGTTTCCATTGTGCTAAATGAAGAGCTTGGAAAAGAGGTAGAAACGTTACCACCAGTATCTTTTGAAACCGACTTAGAGACATACTCATTAAACAATAAACTCATATAAGTATGAACCTCTTTTTCAATAATTGTCCCTTCATCTCCAAACATGTTCTTAAGTACAAAACTAACAGTAGTAAACTTGTAGCGAGGATCCAAAACACAAGCAATGAAAATCATTTTGTTCATTTTTGTTGGTTCACCCCAATACTTCTCAAATTTTTTCCACATACTTAATGCCATCTCACTCAAAAGTACATCTTCAGTTGTTATTAATCGATTTAAGTAAACAGCAACTTGACCAATTGCAAGAAAATGGGAATTCGATGTTACATAAAGTGATCCGGACACCTTCAAAGTGAGATTATAAAATATTTCAAGAAATTGTGCAATTCTCTTTACATTATCCCAATCAGTTCTTGTAAGCAAACCTACAGGCTTTCCATCTGAAATAGCATCAAACATAAGATAACGTGACAAGCCGGTATCACGATTAGAATATTCTTTAATTGCACGCTCATATTCAATAGCTCTGCTCAACATCAAGTAGGTGGAATTCCACCTTGTAGGAACATCTAAGCATAAAGACTTCCTGACAATATTTTCACTTTCACAACATTCCTGAAACTTCCTCAACCTAGCAGGAGACTGTCTAATCTATCTGACTGCTCATCTAACACGAGCAATAGAAATACATGACTCTTTTAAACCATATTTCACAATAAGATTTACAATATGAGCCATGCATCTCATGTGAAAGTGTTGACCATTCATGGAGTTGGTTCCCCAATCATCTAATTTGTCAGACAACTTCTCCACGGTCACATCATTTAAACTAGCATTGTCAACTGTGACAGTGAAAATCTTTTGCAAACCCCACTCACGCAAATAATCAATAATACACCTTGCCATATCTTCACCTTTATGACTAGTAATTGGAGAAAAGTTAATAATTCTTTTATGCATAATCCATTCACTATCAATTCAATGGGCTGTGATGCACATATAGTTAATTTTTTGAATAGAAGTCCATGTATCAGTGGTAAGACTTACTCTTTGACTTGTTCCTTTAAGAAACTTCATTAATTTATTTTTTTCCACATTAAAAAGAGCAAAACAATCCCGTGTAACAGTAGTACGGGAAGGAATATGAAAACAAGGTTGTGCCACTTTCATAAAGTTTCTAAAGCCTTCCCTCTCAACAAAACTAAACGGAAGTTCATCAACAATCACCATACGACACAAAGCCATCCTACACTCTTCTTGATCAAATTTCCATGGAATAAGACCACCTTTATTACCCCCCGGTAATGTTTGAAATTGTAATAGTTTTTGACCTTTTTCAACTTTATAAGGATTCTTTGGACATTTATCGGTATGACCATTCATTTGTGTCGTACTTTTGCCTTTTGTCTCAAAATATTCTTGTCCACAAAATCTACATGCATATTTATTATTTCCTTTAGCATCAACTTTTTCTTCAAAAAAATCCCATGCCCGAGATCGTTTTCTCCTTTGTTTTGAAACTGTCGAGTGAGTAGTTGCAACCGTAGACTCAGAACCTTTACTTTCATCAGCTACTTTATCAATATTATCATTTTCAGCCATGTGAAGTGAATGAAGAATGTAACTTACAGTCTTAAACGGGTTTGCAACTTGGCTGTACTAAAAAGACAAGCCCAATCTTCAGAGTCGCACACCTCTTGGTTCAATCTTAAACACTTCTTGCTTCTGTTTTGAACTTGAATAACACTGAAGATAACTAGTCATTAATTGAACATGTCTAAGTGATAAAAAACTTAAAAAGCACAAGCAATAACAGATTAAAATAAGAGCTGGATTGTGTTTACGCCTCCTCATTAATCAAGGCCTCTCACATAAATGGCAAATACAAACTGTTGCACTTTATATGTGCAACCATATAAAAAAGGTGCTACTTCACAATGCTTTAAAAAAAATTCCTTAAAATATATTTAACCATCCGAACCCAAAATTTTTTGCTCCAAATGCAACACCTAAAAGATAAACAACAACTTCAAAAAGAGTGCATTTATTGTTGGTTAATGAAGTTGCTGGACAGATTTTACTATGAAGTTGCTGGACAGATGCAAAAGTGGAACTAATAGTGAAATAAATATCCATATGAAGTTTAAAAAGCCAGAGTAACGTAGAAATAGAGACCTAGCAGAAGAAATATTTCCACAAACTTAAGAAATATTACATTTTAACATACAAATCTTTGAAACTTCATTTCAACAATTCATGGTTGTTATTTCATAATTTCAATGTTAGAAGTTTTGACATTTGTTACATTCTTTTTTTAATAACTAAGAAATACCTGAGGATTAGCTGATGCACGGAGGTCGTCGGAGCTTTTATGAAACCGGGAAGAATGACAATAGACAGAACTGAGAAGCACCGGACCGGACTAAGCAGAAAGTGAAGACTGAAAACCCTTTTATTTTTGGGTCTACGCACAGTGAAGACTGAAGAGAAGCGGAACTGAAGAAGGGAGGAAAATAGGGTTAGCCGGTTAGGGTAGGGACTTAACTTAAGTGAAGGGAAAGGGTAGTATTATAAAATAGGGGCATATTTGTCTTTTTGGTATTTCTTATCGGTTTATCGATAAACCGATAAACCGAAAGGACAAAATCGAAATCAAAATCGATAACTCGATAAGAAAAATTTCGAAATCGAAATCGAAATCGATAAACCGATAAACCGATATCGATAAACCGATAACAAATAATCGATTCGATTTATCGATAAACCGATTCGAATGCACACCCCTAAGTTTCACACATGTCTTTCATCAGATCACTGTTGAGATTGGCAGCATTATCAATAACAATGGACTCGGGTACTCTGAATCGGCAAACAATACGATCCTTGAAGATGCAGCTTCTACCCATTTCATGAAGTAATCAATGGCTACCAGAATAAACCTATGTCTGTTTGAAGTAGGGGCTCAATCAGACCAATAACATCCATTCCCCAGGCGGCGAATGGCCAAGGTGAGCTTCTTGCATTGAGCTCGTTTGGCGACATTTTTATCATATCGACATGCACCTGGCATTGAAAGCATTTGTGGACATACTGGATACAATCTGTCTCCATGGTCATCCAAAAGTAATTGGCCCTGAGTATTTTCTTAGCCAAGACGAAACCATTCATGTGCGGGCCACAGGTCCCGGCATGTAAATCTTCAAGTAGCTTAGAAGCTTCCTTTGCGTTGACACACCTTAGCAAACCCAAATCAGGAGTTCTTCTGTACAAGTTCCCTCCGTTGTGGAAGAAGTGATTTGACAATCTCCGGAGGGTGCATTTCTGAGTGTGATTTGCATGCTCCGGATATTCTCCCTTCAATAAGTACACCTTGATGTCATGGAACCAAGGCTTTCCATCCATTTCTTCTTCAAAACGAGCACAATATGCTGGCTGATTATGTATTTTCACCGGAATGGGATCAATATAATTTTTATCTGGATGTTGTATCATAGATGATAAGGTAGCCAATGTATCGGCAAACTCATTCTGAATTCTGGGCACATGTCGGAATTCTATCTTCGTGAACCTCTTTCTCAATTCCTGCACATGGTGCATATATGGCAATATCTTGGAATTCTTGGTGGCCCACTCTCCTTGTACCTGGTGCACAAGCAAATATGAATCACCGATCACCAGTAGCTCCTGAATGTTTATGTCGACCGCCATGTTGAGTCCTAGTATGCAGGCTTCGTACTCTGCCATGCAGTTGGTGTAGGGAAATCTGAGCTTAGCACATACCAGATAATGTTGACCTATTTTTGATACCAAAACTGCTCCAATGCCCACTCCTTTGAAATTTGCGGCTCCATAAAAAAACATCCTCCAATCGTCATATGCTTCGGTAATGTCTTCTCCTACGAACGATATTTCTTCATCAGGAAAATATGTTCTCAAAGGTTCGTATGCTCCTCCCACCAGGTTTTCAGCCAAATGGTCCGCCAGTGCTTGTCCTTTGACCGCCTTTTGAGTTACGTAGATGATATCGAACTCACTTAGTAGTCTCTGCCACTTAGCCAACTTCCCAGTCGGCATGGGTTTCTGAAATATGTACTTTAGAGGGTCCATCCTGGATATGAGGTATGTAGTGTAGGCACCGAAGTAATGCCTTAATTTCTAAGCTGTCCAGGTCAAAGCACAGCAAGTGCGTTCCAGTAGAGAGTACCGTGCTTCGTAAGGTGTGAACTTCTTACTCAGGTAGTATATGGCCTGCTCCTTGCTTCCTATCTCGTCATGTTGCCCCAAAACACATCCGAAGGCTCCATCCAATATAGACAGATAGAGTAACAAAGGTCGTCCTGGTTCTGGCGGGACCAGAACTGGCAGTGTGGATAGGAACTCCTTGATCTTGTCAAAAGCTTTCTGACAATCCTCGGTCCAGCTAGTTTCGGCATCTTTCCTCAGCATCTTGAAGATGGGTTCACATATGACCGTGGACTGTGCTATGAAGCGACTGATGTAGTTGAGACGTCATAGGAATCTCACCACGTCCTTTTGCTCGTAGGTGGTGGTAACTCCTGAATAGCCTTGACTTTAGACGGATCTAGCTCGATCCCTCGACAGCCAACGATGAATCCCAGTAACTTTCCTTTGGGAACCCCGAATGCACACTTTGCGGGGTTCAGTTTCAAGTTGTACCTCCTTAGCCTGTTAAAAAACTTTCTCAAGTCCTCTATGTGATCTACGGACCTCTTGGATTTGATAATGACGTTGTCCACATATACCTCTATCTCTTTGTGTATCATATCATGGAATATGGTTGTCATGGCTCTCATGTAAGTGGCCCCAACATTCTTCAGACCGAATGGCATAATCTTGTAACAGTATACACCCCAAGGTGTAATAAAGGATGTCTTCTCCGCGTCTTCTTCATCCATCCAGATCTGGTGATGACCCGCGAAGCAATCCACAAAGGATTGGAGTTCATGCTTGGCGCAGTTGTCTATAAGAATGTGTATGTTTGGCAGTGGCAAGTCGTCCTTGGGACTTGCTCTATTTAAATCCCGATAGTTAACACATACTCTGACTTTCATCCTTCTTCGGAACCGGTACGATGTTAGCTAACCAAGTTGGCTACTCAACCACCCTGAGAACTTTGGCTTTGATCTGTTTGGTAACTTCCTCCTTGATTTTCGGGCACATGTCTGGTTTGAACTTTTCGAGTTTCTGTTTTACTGGCGGACACTGGGATTGGTAGGCAACTTGTGAGCCACTATGGACGTGCTCAACCCGGTCATGCCATCATATGACCATGCAAAAACGTCCTCATACTCTTTTAGGAAACAGATGTACTTTTTCTTCTCTGTTGGTGACAAGTGAATGCTGATACGAGTCTCCTTGACGGTCTCAGCGTCTCCCAAATTTACTGCTTCGGTTTCGTCCAGATTGGACTTAGGCTTATTCTCAAAATTTTCAACCTCCCTGATAATTTCCTCGGGTATCTCATCTTCTACATTCGAATCACTATTCTCATGTTGCGTTGCCTCGTTACATGTCACAGTCATTGGTTCATTAGGAAAAGTAACAAAAACGTTGTAGAAAGGAAAAGTGTAAAAATAGTAATGAATAATAAAGAGCAAATGCATTTGATTGAAACTGAAAAATAATCTAGACAAAGTACGGCTCGATGAATCGAGCATTTATTTTGAAACAAGTAAATCTTAAAACAAAATTACTGGAAATCTTAAATGCCTAGAACGGCTATAGAAGTAAAATCTGCCAAGCTACCCAAGGACTCGGCGGGCTCGGGATGGTGTGCCGGTCCAGTTCTCGAGAACAACTCCCTTCTTTACGGTCTAAATAGTGAGGCCTTCTTCCTCCTCCTTCTCAATTATGGCACTGCAGTCCATGTCTTCATCTTCCAAGAATAAATTCTTCAACCAGCTAGTGCTTCCTCTTCTGCAGTCTCCCATATCATATCAACTTGGTGAAAAGCTTGTTCCAAATGTGGCACTGGATGCTCAAGAGGGTAATACGGTCCACCCAACGGAGGCGACCAATTTCTATACTCTTTCCATGTGTACTGGTATCCAAGCCCAAAGGTGGTACCATGATTTTTCAACTGTATCGGTTTAGTGATACCTTGGAGGTTCTTTCCCAATCCTTTTTCGGGTTCATATCCAGACCAAGCTAGTATGCTTTCTATTTTACCACTCCACCATTTATCCTTTTTTACGGCATTGACCCGTTCAATGTGATGATAAGTTTCCGCTCCTAGCCTTCTTCTATGTCCAATAGCTGGGATGGTTTGACTAGTGTAAATGGGGTTACTTCCATATCCGTGGATGATCACCTCCTAACGGTTCCATTCGAATTTCACGGCTTGATGTAGTGTAGAAGGTATCGCCCCAGCGGCATGGATCCATGGTCGGCCCAACAGAAGATTATATGAGGCTGGTATGTCGATCACTTGAAATTCGACGTCGAACCAAGTTGGCCCCATCTGTAAGCAAAGGTTGATTTTCCCGATCGTGGCCTTTTGGGACCCATCGAAAGCTTTCACGTTCATGCTTCCTACCCGTATTTTATGGAAACCTTTGTCCAACCTTTTCAGAGTGTCCAACGGATATTTAGACTTGAACCTCCGTCAACCAGGACCCTAGCAATGAATTTGTATTCAAATTGCACAGTGATATGCAATGCTCGATTGTGATTCAACCCCTCAGGCGGTAGCTCATCCTCGTGGAAGATAATCTTATGACTTTCCAGTACTTGCCCTACCATGTTGGCCATTTCTCCGCCAGTGATGTTATTGGGTACATAATCCTCGCTCAACACTTTCATTAAAGCGTTCTCGTGTGCCTCTAAATTTTGCAATAGTGATAGGATAGATATCTGAGCAGGGATTTTGTTTAGATGGTCAACAACAGAATACTCCTTTGCCTGTACTTTCCTCCACAGGTCATCTGGCCCGGTATCAATGATAGGCTGCCTAGTAGTGGCCTCCTTACTTGAACCTCCCAAATGTTCATTTGTATATACTTTTCCAGTTCTAGTCATTCCTTGTGCAGTGTCAGATTCCTCTACCTTGGCCTTCCCTTTTTGCCGAGCTTCGGCAACATAATCCCAGGGTATTGCTTTTGAATCGAAGCTAGGTGTGGTTGATACTGCCACTGTGAAAGGTGTGACCACTTCTACTTCAAATGGAGCGGGGGTGGCCGCAGACAGAGTCACCTCTACCTCAAACGGAACTGATGTAGCTACTTCAACCTCGATTGGTGACTGAGTCTGTACCACAATAGGAGTAAGTGTGATTGCAACTTTAAAGTCATCGCCTTCTCGAATAAGCCCAATCGACCCCTCAGGGTCTCATTCTTCATTCGTCTCTATCACATGTACACCATCACCTCTATGATCAGGGAGGGGGTTGTTGCGGACATTAGGTGAGGCTTCCTTCGCCTGTATGACCTTGTTGTCAATTACTGTTTGGATCTTATCCTTCAATGTTTGGCACTCAACAGTGGTGTGCCCCTTCATACTAGAATGGTACGCACAAGTTTTGTTCGGATTGACCCATTGGGATGGGTTTTCTAATGCCACAGCGGGAACAGGAGTGACGTAACCTGTGACTTTCAACCTTTCATACAACTGGTCGATGGACTCATCAATGGCGGTGTATTGTCTGGGTGGCTTGCGATCGAAGTTGGGTCTTGGTCTTGGAAAGTTTTGGCGAGTTGGAGGTGATTGGAAGTTGGATGGTTGGGAGTTATAGGTGTGATGGACAGTGGCTGGTTGGGAATATCTAGGAGATGAAGGCTGATATGTAGGCGGTGATGCTTGGTATGTGGGTGGAGGTGTTTGATATGTGGGTGGATGTGTTTGATAGATAAGTGGAGATTTTGGGCTTTGAGCCACCATTACTTCTCCAATATCTCTCTTCTTTGATATGCTGCTTGACTGTAATGCCTTATTTGTGCCTGTAGTGCCTCGAAATTCGTTACCATCCCATTCTTGATTCCTTCTTCTATTCTTTCTCCAAGTTTGATGATATTAGAGAATTTATGATTTTTGATAACCATCAACCTTTCATAATATTGCAGATCCTGTGCTCTGACGAAGAATTTGTTTATCTATTCTTCGTCCAAAGATGGCCTGACCTTGGCCGCTTCCAACCTCCAACGAGTAGCATACTCACGGAAAGTCTCAGTAGGTTTCTTCTTAAGATTCTGAATGTAGAAAACATCCGGTGCGTTCTCTATGTTGAACCTGAACCGATCCATGAAATAGATGCCATACTTACCCAATTGGACCATTTCTTGGGATCTTGACTGATGTACCAGGACAGAGCATCCCCAGTAAGACTCCTCATAAAGAGTTTTATTCGGATCTTTTCAACTTTCCTGACCCCGAAAAGTTTGTCGCAATAGGTCCTCAGATGGACTCTGGGATCACCTGTGCCGTCGAACATCTCGAACTTGGGAGGTTCGTACCCCTCTGGCAGTTCCACATCTGGCTGTATGTATAGGTCATCATAGTTCAAACCTTCTATTCCTCAGTTGCCTTCAACCCCCTGAACTCGGCTTGTCAACTTCTTGAGTTCTTCAGCCATGTTTTTAATGAGCAGGTCCTTCTTACAGGATTCTGGTGTATAGAAATTCGGTTGGATAAAGTGAGGCATAGTTTCTACATATATAGGGTTGCTCTGATGGGTTCCAGGGACTTGGGTGTAA